CCTTTTGATCTCGCAATTTTTTTCCGTATATCTTTGGTAAACCTCAAGAACTCTCTTAGGATTGCTGGCTTCGTGTGGTGTCATTTTTAGTGTTGAGTGTTTTTTATGGTTGTAAGCATGTGTTATGTTTTCTAAGACACCGTTTGTGTACTGGTAACTTTCTGTCTGTGTGAAGACGCGTTGCATCCACAATCTTAACGTTCCAATGAATCTCTCAGTGATTGAACATTTAGTGTCCGGGTTATTTGTATGAGCGTATTGAATGTCGTGTTGATCTAAAAAGTTCTTCAGTGTTTTGTTGTTCAGTTCTCCACCTTTATCCGTAACAAGCCTTGTTGGCCTTCTGACAGTGTTCCGAAACAGGGTTTCAAATGCCTTCTTAATGGTGTCAGCTTTTTTGTTGAGTACTGGTAATGTCCAGGCATACCGCGAAAAGACATCAGTCACGCACAAAATAAATTTGTTTCCTTGATTGTCCTCTTGAATAGAACTAAAGTCTGCCAGATCAGCTTGCCAGCAATCGTCTATGTTGTCTGCATATGTAACATTACGTGGGAACTTTCGTCGTGCTCTTCGGTGTAGAGTGTACGAGTCTTGCTCCTGGAGGTAGGCCGCCACTTGCTTTTTGTTGACCTTGTCCCCCCTAGCTGTTTTTAGTCGTTCAGCAGTGCTGTATCCCGCTGGATGACGTGTATCTTTGTAGATTTCATCTAGTCCATCGCTTCCACTTTGCGTACCGGACTGCGACTGCACCTCTGGATTTGTTTTCTTTGGCTTGGTAAGACGTGTCTTTTTGCGTCCTGTCTCCTTTTTCGAGTTTGTTTTCGTGACGCTGCCATGTTTCTCACTTATTCCTGCACCCTCTTGCGTTTGCAGAGCCCTTATGTATTGTTGGTTACCTATAATGTCTAAAGGAGTATGGAGCGATTTAAGCACCGAAGCAAACGTATGCCAACGAGATATTTTGGCTTGTTTTCGAGTGCGAACGGCATCGGAGATTAAGTCAATGATGCTTGAGTACGTTTCTCCGCCGACTGAGGTGGTTCCGTTCCTATCCCAGCTAATATAGGCCCCTGCTTCCGGAGTGGATAAGTGATCATAGAGAGCAGATGCAGCGTTTTTAAATTTTACAGGAATCAGTGAAATAAGTTTTTCTTTCAGAACAGTGTTGTGTGGTGTCTCAGGTTGCGTGTCTCTTTCATCTTTCGTTGCCTCAGGTAATAGAAGTGCCGCAGGCTTGTTTTGTTCGTTAACAAAATATAAGTATTTTTGAAGCGCTTGTTCGTACATTTTCCATTTCTCACTGTCTGTAGCTCGCTGTTTTAAAATTCGGTTCATTTCATGGTCTAAATCATTCATTACATCTCCCGATGATCGTGTGGCCGGTTTCTCATGAAATTTGGAAAGCGCCTCATGAGGCAAAAGAACCAGTTTTTTGCAGTGTTCCATAGTAAAGAAACTAAGAGCCAAAAATTAAATTTCCAAGAGTTGGAGCTAATACACTTAGCAAAAGGGGCAAAAATGAACCGCCTTTTTGATTCAATGCTTTTTTCTTTGATAACCAAGATTCGCCGCGTTTCGCAAGCTTTTTGAGAATCGTTTTGTGCTTTTTGAGGTTATGTTTCTGAGATGTTGTAAGTGGCACGTTTCCGCTAAGAGTGTTGTCACAAAGTTCGCAAATTGTGTGAACGAGAGTTTTGTCAGCGTGTTTTAAAATGGCCTTGCGGAGAGACGGACGAGCTTTTCTAAGAACACGTAGTAAGTCCTTGTGTGATTGTTGCTGGGTTTTTCGGAGCCATCTTATGCTCTTGTCGAGATGTGAACAGCACGGTCCATCGCACTCGAATGATTAATGTGGCGAAATAAGGTCACTTTTATACTTTCCGTTTGGAATGTAAACCACAGTAGTCTCTCCAGGAAATATGTGGGTTCTCAGACGGAGGTGGTCTTTTTGACGTACATGGAAATCAAACAAAATGTATGAGTGGCCCTCACGTGTGGCGTCTTCATAAGCTTCCATCAGCCCTCTCCAGTTTGACGGGTCAACTTGAAGTGCAAATGTTCTTATCTGCTGCACATCTCGAGGCGATTTTAGTAGAATTACATAATGTGCTTGCAAGCTAATTTGTCTAAAATTGGGTGGAAAAATTGCTTGGGACAGGAACCAGAAAGATAAATTTCGGTGATGTGACCCTTTGATGGCAATTTTCAGGAATTCGGGGTTTTTCTTAATCTGATCCATCATGTCATCAACAATCACAAATTTAGGCCCTTCCCCAGGGGGGAATTGGTCTAAGGTTGGGGCTCCTTCAATGAATTGGACGTTTTCCCGCTCCGCAAGCTCAGCATAGATAGTTTGATACTCAGTATAGAACCAAATTACTTTTTCAAATGTGACGTTAAACATGTCTGAGCAATTTTCAACAACTCTTTTTACAAAGTAGCTTTTTCCGGCTCCCGAAGGTGCACAGACCAAAACGTTGAAGGATGTAAAAAGCGTAGATCCATGTTGTCTGTATGGCGTCAGTGTTATAAGTGTGATATTTTCCTCCATCCCGGAGTATATAACGGATATGGGCAAAGAAAAGGAGCATGAAACAAATTTTATAAATCATTTTAATTTATTTGTATTATTTACAGTGTAAAAAGGCTTAATTGAGTAATCTATGTACATGAAGTGTTTTCAATCATGGTATAACCCTTCCAAAATGTTAATCATTTCATAATCATCGTCATCAATCAATGTACCTTTGAACCCAAAGGGACTGTTCTTTCCATGTCAATGCGTCTTCGTTTGTTCAAACATACCCGCCATTTCTTGGACGATGGCGTAGTGACAATGCGCCACCCTGGTAACGTGCTATTTGTGATGGAATGTCTATTGTAGTCTGCTTGTGTTCTTCACTTAAAACCATGTCTTTCAGTGTTTCAAATGTGACCATGTCTTGGCAACTGCTGTTGATGGAAATACCCCTAACCTTTATGACTGTTTTTATGTTGTTCACATCACCGCCTACTGCCACTTTATATGCGTAATTCTTGCTCCCTGCAGATACAAATTCTGTACAAAAGGAATTTTCCCCATAATCTTCAGCAAGTTGATCCGTCATCTCTCCCAGATACTGTCCGAGTTCGGGCTCGGGCTGATCAGGTACGGACAGAAAACAGACTGAATCTGAAAAGAAGAAAAAAAGGTTACTAATTAAATTCTCAATTGAGGACATGAAGAAAAAAAAATGTCTGACAACTGACCTGTGTCATGATAAAGTGCCCTTTCTCCAACAACGTCTAATGCTTTATAAAGTAACAAACGACCCTGTGCAGTGGTTTGGCATGCGTGAATTAAAGAAGTAGTCTTTGAAGGTTTATCCATGTCTTCAACTGGTGTGTACCAGATTTGAAGACAGTCTTCCCCAAAAGGCAAGATGGACTTGATGACAATGGTGTTGTCCTGAGTAAGACGAATCAACTCGCCGTAGTCAAAACAAAGACGGTCTGAGGTTTCATGGACCTCTCCCCCATCTTTCCCCCTGTAAAGTCAGAAACAAATTATAGTTGTCAAGTAGAAAACAAAAAACCTGCCAAAGATTTTATTATCTTACAAAATGAGTTGAGGATCAGCTTGGCGAGTGTTCTTTTTCCAGGATTCTTTTCAACTCGATCCTTTTGGATAACAATCCCATCTCTATCAAAAATGCCTTGAATGTATTTGTCTTTTTCATCTTCGTTTTTATATGTGGAGGCCACCCTGAGGCCTCGTACTTCATTGCCATATTTTCTCTGACATAAGCACTGAAAAGCCCGTCTGTTTTTGTTTTTTCATTGTAAACTTTTACGTTAGCGTATTGGTGTAATTCGTGAATGTTTAAAATTTTGTAATTTTTTTGAAGTGCTAGTTGAAATTCATCTGCACACCATGTCCCAGTCAAACTTCTTTCTTCTGCAGTGTCATGAGTACAGACCTCTTGGCTTTGAGTTTCTGTGCATGTGCGACACAATGGAAACATGAGTTTATTGCAACACTTATAAGGCAGCACTGGCAAGAATAAATCTTGTGGTGGAAGAACAGTTGCTTTCACAGCACCATTCCAAGTGGAAACATGGGGCATTTCATCGCCTTCACGAATACAGCTGGATGACCCGTAACGTATTTTCCCTTGTGGTTTATGAATGGATATTGTGAACAAAAATCAAAGAATTTAATTCGTTCCCCTTTGGTTAAGTCTGCTTTTTTGTATGAACGTAAGCAGAGGTGCGCCCTCCGCATAGTGCATCACGTAGATTTAGTGGTTCTATTCTCTTTAGGTGTGATGCTCAAAGTATGCTTTCATTTCAGGGTTATTTTGACATTCATGATTAAATTGACATTCCCACATTTCAATAACTGTGTACCCATTTCTCTTAAATAGGTCTGTGATTCTCATGGTTTGTCATACCTGTCCTCTCCTGCTTCTCTCCTCATCTTTTCTCGTGTTTTTGATCACTGATGCATTTGGGGCAAAAATGCCAGTAGCAACCGTGAAATTGGTAGATAATTTGCTCAGTCCTGCCATCTTCTCTCTTAATTTGTGCAAATCCATCTACACGCCGGTTCAAGACACTAACTTCCTGTCCGTTTTCTGCAGTGTGATTTTTGCAGTTTTCCCAGTTTGTGTTGTTCGTAATCAAGCCATTTAAGGGCTGTAAAAGATTGTTTATCCCGCCCTCTGTAAAATCCTCCTTTAGGTGGGATGGCCAAAGTGTAGGGAGGCATGTGTTTGTATCTGTACATATTCATGCAACAAGAGCTGAGGCTATGCACTGATAGAGAGGACAAAATCCACTTATCTCCATGAAAGCAGTTCTAAAGCTTTCCATGGCTTGTCTCAAAATATCTACGTCTGACTGGCAGTACGTTAAAATTTCGTATTTAAAATTAAACATGTAATTTTTGTCTACTTGTTCTTGATACCAGTGTTCAAATTCCTGTTTCTCTTTGGCTGTCATTGTGGATGTGCAGTATAGTTCCTTGTCGGGCATACAAGAATTGTAAGAATAAAACTGTTTTCTGTTCATAAGATGAGGGAACCAGCCCTTTCGTAATTCATCAAGACCAAAAGCTTTTGGTAAAGAACTTAATTTCTGAGGAACAAACATGAGACTGTCTTTAAATTGTATGTTATCAATTTTTAAGCTGATTATTTTTGCCCCGTTTAAAATGACTTGTGGTTGCATTTTTCTTCTGAGACATTCGTGTAAAATGAAATAAGTGTCAAAGGCTTTCCCATTGTGTGAAAAACAGATGATTTCTGTTTTCTCTTCAGAACAAAGTTGCTTTAAGTAAGCTAAAAATTGTCCAACCACGTTTTCATCTGAGTAATCTCCAATAGACTCAAATATCTGTTCTCGTTCACCGCAATTGAGGCAGCTATGTTCCAGTTCTTTGATGTGTTCACATTGGTTGCAAACTTGGTGACTGATCAACACATTAGGTTTGTGTTCCATCCAATTATTTTTGTCCTCAAATTGATCTGAAGCACTTGTTTCTATATCAAAATAGATTCTTATTTGTCGAGTGTTTTTGGGTAAAGGCTTAGGCTCCCAAGGTGGAACATAGCAGTAATGGTTCTCAGAAACCATGAGGTTGCAAGAAGTACAATAAATTGTTCCGCATTTGTGTTTTTGGGCTTTTCCCTTTCCCCTGGTTCCCAAGTGGACGGTTTTTTCACATTTTGAGCAGAACTTTAAAACTTGGCAAGTTGTTCGATCGTGTGTGTATACCTTTTCCGTAACATGATATTTGAAACATTCATCTCCAGCAAAATATCGACAACAGTCTTTGCATTTTTGCAATGAAGTAGAAAGAGTGTCGTGACACTCAGTGGACCCACATCTCCAACAGCTATTAAAACATTTATGATCATTTCTACTAGTAGCTGTGACCAAACAGTTCTCACAGAAATAGCGGAACCCAAAAGCGCCAAGGATGTGCAGAATTCCATAAAAGTGTCCCTCATGTAAGAGCAAGTAAATGTTCTTCCGTGGGTGAGCTTGAGTAGAGATAGGCCCGTGGAAAATTATTTCCTTTCCCTGCCTGTCAACGAACACGATTATTCTGTGATCAGGTAGCGAGTTTTGAAGTTTCTTAATTTCATCAATTCCACATTCTGAGTTTTCGTCAATGTCTGCATCAGCACATAATTTTTTAGCCATGTCAGTCTGAGTCTTTGATTTGGGATTCTTCAGCCTGTTAAAGGTGTAATTTTTCATTGTTCCGTAAGCCATGCAAACTGCAGCACATCGTGTTAAACAGAGTTTGTCAGTATTTTTTGGATCAAAAAGTGATGCAGATTGTGTTTTTCTCAGGATAAAATGTTCCATGTCTTCATTAGGACGGATCGTCCTATTACCCCCAGCTTCTGGTTGTGGTACGTGAATGTATGAGAAATGTAGTGTTCCATCGGTCATGAAACTCTGATTACTGTTCAGAACGTGTGCAATTTTGTCTAAAATTACTTGCCCTGATATTTGTTCACAGAGACGTAATGAGAACCAAACGGGGGTAGCCAAACTTTCACTCCCCCTCACCTCTACAATGCAACTGTCTCCTTTCTTCGCATTGACTGCTTTTTTCTGTCTCTCTAGCATGGTGTCAAATAAATTGACAAGGTTTTGATGAATGTTTAACGTGTTCCCCAAGTTTTTTATGCAAAAAATTTCTTCCCTGAATTCTAATTGAAATCGTCTCAGATAGCGTGTGGTAGATTGAATGACTTCAATGGTAGGTCCATCTTCACCTCCTTCGTCATCATTCAGTCCCTCTTCGTCCTCTTCAGTGTCACTGTCCTCTCGCGACCGCTTCTGTGGCGTCCCTTCTGGTAAATCCATGCCATCATTTCTGTCTTTGGCAGTGTCATGTGGTAAATCAGGCGTCACAACGACATCCTCTTGTGAGGCGTCTGCTTCTACTGGTTGATTTGGAGGGTCAGGTGTCACTTCTGATGCAGTCCGTGCTTGGCTGCGAGTCACTGCACCCCCATGCATGAGTCTAGCCAGATGATACGCCGTGTGTACAAGAGAATTGGTATGACCTGTCAAACGAACTACCTCCAAGTAAGCCCTGTACCCGGCCTCAAGAAATGGAAGAAAGCGTGAATCGTCGGGTGTCTCATTAACTTGTGGAAGGGCAGCGAGAAAGGTGACAAAGGCTTCGGAGAGGTATTCTCTTGTGTAAAAGCATCCGTTTTCCCATTCATTGAGTATATCCCCAACGAGCCCCATTGTGTGCCGAGTGGTGCTGCCGTGTTCCCGCGTTTGGTGTAAGCATGTGTCCTCAGTGGCGTGTAAGGTGCAAGTGTAGACACTGCCCTGAGACTGCGCGCTTTTTATCACGGCACAGAGGGCAGAGCGGGGAAGGGCGGAGAGAGTGCGGAAGAGTGCGGCAAGCGTGGGCGTGGCCGGCCGCATCGGCGTCCAGTCCGTCGGCCACGACAAGAGGCGTAGCGGAAGGCGGCGCGGAGCTTGGTTCGGGATTTCTCCGCCAGGCGGACGCAGAGCGGAAGGACCTCGTCGCGAGTGACGGACAGGGAGGGCGGGGAGTGGTGGGGCACGGTGCGGACTTACGCCGCCGGGCGGGAAGGCGGGAAGGCGGTCGCGGCGTAGCGACCGAAGCGCGGGTAGCGGGGCGTGAGCAGGTAGGCGCGGGTGGCGACGGAGCGACCGAGGCGTGGCTAGCGGAGCGCGGTCGGGAGGCGGGGCCGGCTGCGGCCCCGGCGGACAGGCGGGCGCGTAGAGCTGGGCGCGGGGGCGCGGGGCGGTGCGGTCGCGACGGAGCGGACGGGTGCGGCCCGGCGGACAGGCGGGCGCGTAGAGCTGGGCACGCGGGGCGCGGGGCGGTGCGGTCGCGACGGAGCGACCGAGGCGCGGCGAGCGGAGCGCGGGGCATGGGGGCGGACGGGTGCGGGCGTTAGTTCCGGCTTACGCCGCCAGGCGGACGCGGAGCGTCTCAGCCCCTGGCGCGGCGGCGCGGCGCGAGGGGGGCGCGGGGAAGGAGGGCAACGACGCGGCTTCGCGCGTCCCGCTGCCCGGCGCGGCCCCGCGCGGCCCCGTGCGCTCGGCGCGGCGCGAGGGGGACGTGGGGGGAAGGGGGCACGACGCTCGGCGCGGCCCAGCGCGGCCCGGCGTGGTCCGGCGTCGCCCGGCGTCACCCGTCGAGGTGGCACTCGAATTTGCAACGCGAATAAAAAGCCGACTCCGGTTCGAAGACGGCACAGTTGAAGCTACACAGCCAGCCATCATGGACACTCAGACTCAGAACACGACACGAATCACACTTAATCCCTGCACTGAGAAAGTGCTTGTCGTCACCTACCTCCCCAACAAGCGGCCTGTGGTCCAAATCTGGAAAAAGGGAATCCTCCAAGACCAATATTCAGCACAGGAACTCAAGCAATTTCATCGACTGTGGGAATTTGCATATAAAAAGATAACAAAACACCTAGAATCCGACGGCGATCTCCTATTGGGGGAGGCCATCTGCTTCGAATCTCACATCATCGAACTGATTAAATTGAGGGACAAAGCTTTTATTAAGATCGAGAGAGACGATGATTTCCGCGAGATTGGCGGCCGACCTCAATTTATGATCACTTACTTGGGATTAACCTCTTGGAGAGCACTGTGTGAAAATGCACCTTATCTTCTGGCTAAACACTTTCCTCAATTAATGCCAAGTCCAGACCAGTCGTAGGCCCGGCGGGGCGGGCGATGCGGCGTGGCGTGGCGTGGCGAGGCCGAGGCAGCGGAGGGCCAACCTGGGCCGGAGGGAAGGGGGAGGGCGGGGAAGGGAGCGGGTACGTGCCGCTCGGTGTCAAGTGAGCCGCCGAGGCCGGCAGGACTCAACCTCCGCCATAAAACAGCCGCGCTCCAGCAGAACGGCACAGTCGACACTCGCACCTCACACGAGCCACACTCTCATCAGGAACAACTGACTCACCAGCACCAACTGAGAAACACCATGAACACTCCCAAGATTGAGCGTAAGAAACGCAGCACTCCTTATACACGCCAACCTCAGGCCAAACTGCAACACCAGTCTTCGGCTTTCAACGCACCTGATACAGCGCCACTCCCTCCACCTCCACCACCTTCAACTGCTCCAATGGATACCTCACTGACTCTACACTCAGTAAAGGGAAATCCTACTTTTGAACTATTTAATTTTGAAAACGTACCCATTGACAATGCACAGATTGAGGAGGCGGACAGAATCATTGAGGCCCTGACCAACGCCGGTCTGGAAGATTTGGTGGTAGACGACAAGGACACTGACATGGAAAATTACGTTCAGCCCCCCACTGATATGGATGAAGTTCCATACACTGTGAACAGACATGTGATAGCGTTGACCCTAGGGTCTTTAACGAGCAACTTAAAGTCCCTTAACCTGGGCTTTGACCTGCGCACAAACTCACCTTGCGCCGTTTTTGCTGACCATCAAGGCTTTAACTCGAACACAATGAGAGTAAGCATTGATGAATTGTTTTTACTTCTAAAAGACAACATCTACTCCAGAATCCAAAATTTATTTTCGTCAAAAGAAAACTTACAGCCGTTCCATCTGGGAGGCATCGAGGTCTCCCAGTACACTGCAAAACATGGAGGGAAGTCGGTAAAATTACAAAGGATTGGACATCCCCTTATCTTTTTCTACTTTTCTCCATCAACATGGAAGAAAATGGCACAGGCTCGTTATCTCATCAAAATGTCCATAAATCTTCTGACGCAGAGTCAGGTTTACATAACGCAGTTTGCTGAACAATTTGTGAAGGAAACTGCCCAACACCTGCTATCACAGCACTTTGACTTTGACACAATGGACGAGCTAGAAATGGGTAAAAAGCTTTTAACCATCAAAACTGCCATGGAGAACACTAACACCTTCCTCACTTCGGCATATGCACAAGACCTCTCCATGATGGAGTCATGCCACTTGCCCTCGATCAAAGAAGAATTTATTGTATTCCACTCCAGTTATTTCCGAGACAAGATTTTGTCCGCTCTGAGAGACATGTCTTCTGATTTGTAACTGTAATGTATGAGAGTAATTGTAATTTGCCATATTTGTAATTTGCCATATTTGTAATTTGCCATATTTGTAATTTGCCATATTTGTAATTTGCCATATTTGTCTCAATAAATATTTTTATAATCTACCATTCTTATATTTCAATTGATTCCCTTATCAAATGAGTCACAGGACAAGTGAAAAGAAACACTAATGGTTAGAGAATGAAATTTATTTTCAATAATATTGTGTCATGAAATTATAAAAAAGGATTTCAAGGGCTGGGGGTCCTGAGCAGCCCCCAGGACCCTGGGCGGCGTTTCCCTTGCCCGTAAAAGGGCCCAGGCCGGCGGCTCGGAGCCCTTCCCAGCGGTGCCGGTCTGGTAGGCCTCCTCACACAGGGATCCTAGAGGAAAAAGATAACTGTTAAGACTTGCTATAATTTTAATAAGACAAGCGTGACCAAAGAAGGGCAGAGTACATACTTCGTACAATTTCTTGCGAGTGACGCGGAGGTCCAGCGGCTCCCCGCTTGGTCTCTTGCCCCCCCGCGGCGATCCCCGCGGAGACGCCGCCTGAAACCCAACACAATTCTTCATTAGAGGATCCGGGCTCTAAGACATGGACGCACGACTGAGAGGGAAAACTCACCTTGGCGGCGATCCGCGGCGACCGCCGCGGGCTGCCGGCCTGCACTGGCCTGACCGTCAAGTCGAGCGCCTGAGGAGACGCCGACGCCACCTGGAACAATGTAACTCTTCAATATAGGATTCGGACTCAGAGAAGATGCATGGGCGCGAGACAGAAACGAAATGATAATCACCTTCGCCGCAATTCGCGGCGAGCGCCGCGGACTCTCCCGCCGCGGACTCTCCATAAGGCGCCTCGGCGCCAACTCGCCGCGCACCCGTCGCAGGGGCGTCGGAGGGGGACGCTGGAAAAAGAATTAATAAACATATTAAAAGCGAAATCGGGACCTCATAAAAAGGGGGAACGACACACTCAGCTCAGACGGCCCCAGAGGGGGCCTTCCCTAAATGCACTTAATGAACAGCTGACGAGGCAAGCGGGCCTGCGGCTCCCCTTTCGGTCAAGGCCGAGGGCAGGCTCTCTCTTTCTCTCTCCCTCCCTCGCACACACTCTCTCGCACACCTACACTCTCACACCGTCCGCCACCAACTCTCACTCACAAACGCGCGCGCGGGCGCTCAGCGTGTCAAAGTACCCAGCAAGTACGCGCGGAGCGCGCATGCGCCACCTGCCACCCGCGTGGCACCTGAGGCGGCACCGGGACCCTCGAACTGTACCACTTGCACACGGTTCACTGAGTCACTGCACTAAAACGCCGGAGCGGACGGACACAGCGCGAGGCGTGACACACACACACACACGCGCGCATACACACACACACACACACTCACACACACTGACTCTCTCACTCACACACGCACACTACACAACACACACACACACACTCACACACTCATCAGTAGCAAGAAGGGTGAACACGAAGCGGAATATACACGGCGGAATAATAACGTAAAATCACTGCACTGACGCGATCATTATTGACTGGCCTGAGCACACTCAGAAACATACTCACCGAGGGCGGGGTGCGCGGAGAAAACGGCGCCGGAGGCGCCTCTTCTGGAGAGTGCGGCGAGAACGGCGGTCGGGGCGCCTCTTCAGGGGACCGACTCCTCGACGACCTCGACGAGTGACTCGTCGAGGTCGTCGAAGAACTTGACGACGAACTTGTTGAAGATGAGGAAGACGAAGAAGACGAACTAGTTGAGCTGGAACTAGTAGAAGAGCTCGAGGAGCTCGACGAGCAGCGCGCACGACAGCACATTGTGCATCTACAGCACATGGCAGACTGACGGCCAAGTCCTGGTCACCAGGACCCGAAGGCTACCCGGCCAAGGGCTACCCCTCGAGGGCCCCCGGGAAAACAAGGGCTCCAGTGCACGTGAACGTCGTGCCGGGCACGACTATAAAACAAACGGCGCCCGCGTCGAAGGCTTGATGGATTTTCCGCGGAGGCGGGCCTCATTCACGCCTCAGCCGCGGGACCGCGCGCACGCAGAACCAAAACAAACTCCGTCTTTTATTTCGACTCAAAAGCTCGTAAAAGAAAAATGTCCACACTAAACGGAACCATGGACGCAGAGGGAAACGCGGAGGGAAACGCCGAGGAAAGCCCACCGATGGATGGAATGATAGCAATTTGTGCTGTCATTATGATCTGCGCCCTCTTGATTCAATGCTTTGAGGGCATCTGCGAGCATCGTCCACATGAAGTTTCCCAATCGAGTCCTAATGAGATCGAGAGAGGACAAGCAGCAGGGTCACACACCGTAGAAAACCAGACTGCACCCATGCAATGCGGAGTGAGTGAGACAGACGAAGTGGAAGTGACAAGTAACCCTGGCGGCAGTGCGACGGAGTCAGACGAAGGAGCAAGAGAGACGGACGACGAGGCGACGAAAGGGGGACAAGAGGGGACGAGAGGACCAGTCCGCCCCGTCGGCAGTGCGACGGAGACTGACGAAGGAGCAAGCGAGACGGACAACGGGGGTAGGAGGGGGGGGAGGGCCAGACCGGCCCGTCGGCAGTGCGACGGAGACTGACGAAGGTGGAAGAGAGACGGAGAGTGAGGGGGCGAGAGGGGGCTGGGGCGGAGGCTCAGGCCGGCCCGGCGGCAGCGCGACGGAAGGTGGGTGCTGGCGAAACGAGAAGAGGGAGAGAGGGGGACGGGGGAAGGGGACTGTCGCAGGGATCTGAGCGGACGCACCGCTGATTGGACTGCCAAGTGAGCCGCCGAGCGCGGTAGCGGGTGCCCTCAGGAACAAGAGCAGACGCAGGCAGTCACACGCGCCACTCAACACGCGACACTCACACAGGACACTACCATGGAGCCAACACTGGACACGGAGCGAGAGGAAACACTTCCACCCACGGACTCCGACACGGAAGCCAATCCACTCCTAGGGACTACAGGGGCCGTTGAGGATTTCACCACTAACACTAGAGACATTCCTGTGGCCCCCGAGGATCCACATCAGGCAACGCCTGTAGAGCAGGACACACCGGAGAGCGACACGGACTCAGGCTTCGACGGAGGCGATACAGTTGTATTTCGATTGGAAGTCAACCCCATTTATCGCCATCCTCCAGCCCCGTAAACAAAACTAGTACATGTCTGGAATCCGACGTCTTTCGGACGTCCCGAAGAAGTCGGTTTTGGGAGCTCTTCGGGACCTCCCTAAACGTACTACAAATGAAGCTCTCTCGTACGTCGCGCGGGGACCTAGTGTGTGGTGCCAGAGTTTGCCGCCAGAGCGCGCCCTGGTCGCTCGTCCCAAAGTAGTCGGTTCTTGGAGCACTTCGGGACGTCCGAAACGGTAGGTCTATGTGAGGTCTTTGGGAGGTCCCCCACCACACCCGTCGCAGCGTCCTGCGGCCATGTAGTTCCGAGTGTGTCCGCTAGAGCGCGCCTCGGGCCCACGCGATGCTCACCTGTTGTGCAGATGACAGTCGGCGCACTTTGGCGCGCACCGTGCTTGTGGCGTCGGATCCTTACTTCTATTTATTTTTCTGTTAACTATAGTAAATTCATTTCTCCAAAGAAAAGAAACCACGCACGAAGATGTTCAGTTCTCAGGTGCACCAATAAGAAGAATACTTCAAAGCCTGGTGCAGGCTTATTTCGTGTTTCAATCCAAATCAGAAAGTGCCGGTGTAAGTTAACCTACAATATTCTGTTACTTTGATACTCTTATTGTCAAAGTGTTTATTTTGTTCGTCTTCTGATTTTATGCTTGAGAAATAGGCTCTTTGCGGAAACCTTGACCCACTGGAGTTGCCCAAGATTCTGGAACGATAACCTGCACCACTATGCAATTACATGTGGAACAAGAACTGACTCCTGTGCTTCAGTGTCAAATTAAGTGAATTTCCTGCGACAGTAAGCATGACACCTTGGAATCAGTGCTAATTGAATTTCTTTCAGTCATTTTGGCTTATTTTTAATCAAGGGGTGTTACAGTTATGGCTGCTGTATTTTCTTTTCAGTCCAACTGAGATTCCTCTTTTAAATATTTTGTTTTTGAGTCCTGTCCACCATTTTTGTCTCCATATTTTCTGTTGTTCGTGACAAGTCTTATCGTTTGATTTTTAATTTAAAAAGGTCAGTGAATAAATACATTTTTCCTAACAGTTTATCTGTGTCATATTCACATTCCTATACGCATTCACATTCATATCCGGAACAGTGGCGCACCCTAGCGGCAGGCCATCGAACTACGACAGAGGTGCGCGCTCTAGCGGTCACCTTCGGAACTACATGGCCGCAGGGCGCTGCGACGGGTGGTGGGGGACCTCCGAAAGACCTCTCACAGACCTACCGTTTCCGACGTCCCGAAGTGCTCCCGAAAGAGACGTCCTGAAATGTAGCACGGCAGTACTTCTTTCGGATGCCTTTTTTGTTTCATAAGGTACTCCTTCCGTACTACATTTTGGGATGTACAGAGCTCCGAAATGGTAGTACGACTGTACTACTTTTGATAGTAGTTTTGTTTACGGGGAGCAGGGCTAATCAGCGACTTGGACACCAATCCAGTGTACGGATACGACGAGCCACCAGTATTTGATCGCGAAACTGAAGACCTCATAGCAGAATTCGCACAAGCAACACGGCCACTTGATCATATCACTCAAACCAATGGACTGTACGACCCATTTGCAGTGCAACACAATATTCTACCATTCATAACACCTCTCTACCCTAAATATTCCACACTGGAAAGCAGAATGAACACATTCGATTCTTGGCCCAAAGATGCACATGTCTCGTCAAAAGCACTGGCTGAAGATGGCTTCTATTACTTGGGACATTCTGACATTGCCATGTGCTTCCACTGCGGCATGTCATTATGCCACTGGGCGAAAGACGATGTTCCTCCATTCGAACACGCGACCTTTTCCCCTTATTGTGGTTTTCTTTTGCGGAACCATGGAAGAAAATTTGTGGACCAAATTCAAAACGTGTTACACTCCGTAAAAGATGTTCCAGAACATTTCAGTCACATCATTAAGAAGCACTTACCTGAAGAGGTGGTGTCGCAGCACACTCAACAAGGTCCGAGTAACACTCATGAAAAAGGTCAATGTCAAATCTGCTGTGAATACGATGCAAACGTCGTAGTTCTTCCCTGTGCACACCTTTACACCTGTACACTTTGCCTCCCCGCGCAAACAAAGTGCGGAGTTTGTAGAGAAACAATCCAGTTTACACTACGAGTATTTGTTTGAGTGTTTGAAAAATATCCTGTACCAACTATTTAAGTTTTTTAATTTTTGCCACAATCATCAAACTGTACAAACCCTTTTTTTTCAATGAATAAAACTATGAAATGAATACCAAGTCTCTTTTTCATTGCTCACCAAAGCACATCACGCCTGATGGGTAGGCAACCCGAATAATATGCACGAGGCGCCTGGTTGGAGTCAACCCGTTGCAAGGATGCTGGGCAGCACCGGGTTGGAAGGGCAACCGGGGGCACGGATACGGGAGCGCCTGATGGGTAGGCAACCCAATGAAGGCACGAGGCGCCTGGTTGGAGGCAACCCGTTGCAAGGATGCTGGGCAGCACCGGGCTGGAAGGCCAACCGGGGGCACGAATACGGGAGCGCCTGATGGGTAGGCAGCTTTCAACTTCATGGCCTTGAGAACGGCACGCACTGGTACGGATGACTCATCGATACACAAGTCGGAGGAGTCGAACTGGTACTGGGTTACTTTGCCCCCCGGCAGGGTAGGCAAAGTAACTCAGTACCTGTTATACTACTGGCTTTTATACGGCTGCTTAATATTTTGAGACCAAAGTAACGCGCTGGCGTTGGCACAATTGATTTTTTACCTTACTTTCACTAGACAATTTGTACCGCCGGATGTGCTTAAAATTGCATCATTCATCGGACAAAAAAAAGTCCCATAACATTTAGTGTGGGAGGGCCTTTCTCCATCCATTTTCCCTATTTTCACAGAGATTTTTCGTACTTTTACGGAGATGAACCGTTTTTTTTTTGTTTCAGAAGTAAACGCATTTTAACGGTTTACTTCTGTCCTTTTATCTTCGATGTTAATACAAACAGTGCCTTTTTAGGCGAAAGTGTTACTCTCCTAACTGTTGGAAGATTCACTTGACCCCATGCCATTTGAATTGGATACCCGAGATGAAACGCCCATCGGAGAATTGCCGGGGACCACCCGGGTACTCCCCGGGAACACCTAGGGAACTACCGGGGAACTACCGGGGAACAACCGGGGAATACCCGGAGAACACCCGGAGAACACCCGGAGAACACCCGGAGAACACCCGGAGAACACCCGGAGAACACCCGGAGAACACCCGGAGAACACCCGGAGAACTCCCGGAGAACTCCCGGAGAACACCCGGAGAACACCCGGAGAACACCCGGGGAACTCCGGGGGAACTCCCGGAGAACTCAATTTTCGCCGGAAAACCACCGGGGAACCGCCTTGAGCTGCGGAAATGGCCAGGGCAGCGCGCCATACCGATTCTTGGTGATGCGGACGGGTGCGGACTTTGGAGAAGGGCTGGAGTGCTGACGTGCGGCGGCGGCCGAGAATGTGCCTTTGTCACTCTTACTCCACGTTCCGTCCGTTGTTTTGATCGGACGCCGACTTGGTTGGCACCTTTGGATTCGGAAAGGATCAACACGAACACTGTTCAAACTTTTTAGTTTAAAATTGTATCTGCTAACTAAGGGCGAGATAAAAGGCGCGCACAGCGATGGAAAGGGGCTCCGCGTCGCGTTGGCCTGGCTCAGGTCCGGGCATCCTTTAGCATGACTTTGTTACGTCCAGTCAAACGGTGTTTTGACCCGGACAAAATTCCGAACAGTACCAAACTTTGGGAATCGTCAGAGGGAGCTTTCAGGAAGCCTCTCACCAAAATCCCAAAAAATCCCACGGTGCCGATTGGAGATATCGCCGTTCAAAGTTCAAAATTTTGAACATTTGGACCAAAATGGTTTTCGGCACTTCACGCCCGAACGGTTTGACCTACAGATGCGTGCGAGTGCTCAAAATACTCGTGATACTTGCGGCTACAAGTTGCACGGCTCGGATTTTGATTTCGATAACATCTACACTGAAAAAAAATGAATTGAAGTGAAAATTTCGGTTTTTGTGAAAGGTACAAAGTACTTTGATTGTAATTTTCTCTGTTCCAAGTGGGAAATCGGCGAAATGTGCTTCTCTTATCGTTGTAGGCCTACGTTTTCTGAATAGATTGGTATTTGTTTGATAACTGTGGGACTAAAATTGACTGAGATAGAGCGCCGAGACCTGAGCGCCGCGACCCAGCGGGAGGTTTATCAAGTGCCCCGGCGTCTACCTTTAAGTTGCTCTAACTCACTCATTAATGATCGTATAGAGTTCCCTTTTATACGAAAAGAAGCGCAAAAGTCTGCCCTACAACATGGATGTATTTTTATTTTTACTTGTTCTCATCGCGTTTCATCAAAAAGCGGAAAATCTGAAAATTTGGGTGTTTTGTGTGGGTTTATCTAGGTTTTCGACCGTTTTAGGGCATAGTGATGAGACAGATCGAAACTTAACCTCATCCCAGCTGTCAAGCACTCTTTTCTGAAGCGCTGGACGCTTCATACGCCATTTTCCGTTAAACTATACCCGTGAAACTGCTTGTGAGCAAATTTATTTAAGAAAAGCCACCCCTTACATTGATGTCATCCGATCCTTCTGATTTTTTGTGGGTAAGTTCTCTTCATATAATGTAAAAATCGGCCACTTTTGGTTTGGCCGAAAAAAATTTCGTTTCGGAGATATGGTGCATTTTGTGTTTTTTTGCCCATTTTGCAGGCATTTTGGGTATTTTGTCCTACAGGCACAGTTTTCGTCCGAATGACTTAAAATTTGGCATCCTTATGTAAAATTGAACAAGGAACCAGAATATGCCCTCAGATTTACTCTACGACCAATAGTTTTTG